CAACTCGGGGTTCGAAGCGAACAAGCCACTCAGGGCCCGCCCACCACGTCGAACTGGCCACCAGATCACGAGGGTAAAGTCCTCTGGAGCAATGATCCGCCGGATTGGACTCCGTGTCGACGTGGCCCCAAGCTGAGACCGGCACGTTGTCCTGAATGAGGGCAACGCGATTTCTAACAAAGGTCTTCCACCGTTGTGGTGCTGAGCGGATCCAGGCCCGGGCGACCTCGGAATCCGTCCAAGCATACTCGTCGTCAATGTCAATGTGTCCGCGGAGGATGCGCCGGACGTACGCGATTAATTTGGACAAGAGCAGAGCCGCGCAGAGCTCCAGACGGGGAATGGTGAGGGGGCGAAGCGGGGCGACCTTAAACTTGGCGCACAGTAAGCGGACCACGACGCCGTCGCGCGTAACGATTCGCAGATAAATCACGGCTCCGTACCCCAGCTCGCTGGCATCGCAGAACCCGTGGAGCTCGCAACGAACTACATGGCACGAGTTAAACGCGCGAGGAACGCGAAGGGAGGATAACACGCCGAGCTCCGTCTGGAAACGGTTCCAACTGCGACGAATGTCCATCGGTGGCTCATCATCCCAATCTAATTTAAGGGTCCACAGACGCTGAATTAAGCACTTCGCGGTAAAGGTGAGTGGGGCCAGAAAACCCAAGGGGTCGAAGATGCGCGCTACTTCCGACAATATAGTGCGTTTGGTGCACTCACGATCCAACGCGTTGACTTGAAACCCGAAACTGTCAGATTGTGAGTGCCACCGAAGGCCCAATATCTTCTGAGATTGATCCTCGCTTGACTCGAAATCTAACATTGATTGGCTACATAACTGCGTGTCGAGTCCCTCCAGCGCGGCAGGATGGCTGCTCGACCACTTTCTAAGCTTGAAGCCGGCGCTTCGGAGAAGCGATAGCAATTGGTCGCGGAGTGCCCGAGCCTGTTCCACCGTACGAACGCTAGTCACGACGTCATCCACATACAGCGCCTCGAGTAGGGCTGCGGACGCTAGAGGATATTTCTCGTGGTATTGATGAGCTAACTGGAGCAAACAATAGATCGCCAAGAACGGGGAGGCGGTAAAGCCGAACGTAACGGTTTTGAGGAGATAGTCTAGGATGGGGTCCAACTCCGAAAAGCGCCAGACGATACGTTGGTAGTCGCATTGCTCCGGGCTTATCCAAATCTGGCGAAAAATCTGCTTCACGTCCGCGGTTAGAGCGATCGCTTCGGCGCGGAACCTAAGCAAGATGGCGAGCAGGTCTTGCTGCAGCTTCGGACCGCTGAGCAGGGTGTCGTTGATCGACAGACCGTTCGGGCAGCGCGAGGACGCGTTAAACACTACCCGCTACTTAGTGGTAGTGCTATCGAGTTTATATACACCGTGGTGCGGTAAATAATAAATGTGGCCATCCGACGGGAACGGATTGCGAATTACCTCCATGTGTCCGCTATCGAGATAGTCCTGCATGAAACTATTGTAACTAACTCTGAACTCCGGATCAGATTTAAATCGACGTTCTAGTGCGCGGAGACGACTAACCGCTATGGAGCGCGAGCCGACGAATGTAGGAGGATCCGACACGAACGGGTACGAGACCACGAAACGACCCGAGGGGTCACGATACGTGGTCTGGGCGAAGATCTCCTTGCAGCGTCGATCCTCGTCCGAACAAGAAGCGTCCTCCGGCACCTCCTCCAATTGACAAAAGCGACCCACTGATGTCTCGATCGACTCGAGCGTAGTCGCGAATGACAGCAGGGGTGTTGCTTGGACTGACGGGGATACCGCGCCCGTCAGAACCCATCCAAAGACTGAATTGAAGGCGTCGGGTTCTCCCTTTTCCCCCTTACGACGGCCATCCCGTAGTATCGACACAAACGAGTCCGCCCCTAAGAGGATGTCAACACTGCCGGGCACGTAATATTCGGGATCCGCGAGCGGCAATCCTTTCAAGTGTTTCCACGATTGGACCTCCACCTTGTCATTAGGCAGCGGCGAGGTTATGCGCGGGAGGACCGTAGCCTTTATCGAGAACCGAGTGTCGTCGCGACCGCGCGCGCGGATCACGAGGGAGGTGAGGCCCCTCGTCGTGGCCGCCCTAGCTTCGTTTATCGCCAACACGGTTGCACTGTGTTTGGTGCGACGAAAGCCGCCCTTCCGAAGGCAGCCCTCGGTAATGACATTGGCCTGACTCGCGCTGTCCAGCAATATGCGTACGGGGAACGCATTGCCACGCGCGTCTATCGCCTCGGCTCGTACGGTGGACAGGAGGACGATTCTATTGGCTAGGCTAGTCATTGTTACAATCGGCGCATCCTCCGACTGAGGAGCGGGTACGGCGTCCGGTTCGGCAGGAGTCGCGCTAATGGGTTCGGTCTTAGGAGTAGTATTGGAGCTCTGCTCGTAATGCAGAAGCGTATGATGCTTTGTTCCGCAGGACCGACATGTCCATGCGGAAGGACAATTTTTCATGCCATGCCCTGAGCGCAGGCAATTGAGGCACAATTTTAAGTCGCGAGCCTTAGCCTGCCTCTCTCTCGGCGAGAGTTTCAAAAACTGGGAGCACTTCGACACGTAGTGAGGCTCTTTACAAACGGGGCAATCGGCCGTGTTAGTCACGAACAAAGAGACCGGCGTGGACTTGGTTTTGGAGGACGGGCCCGCGACGGCCTCGAGAACCTGACAATGTTCCGCTAGAAATTTCGTGAGTTGAGTATATCGCGGTATCTCCTCAGCCCGGTGAGCAGACTCGAATTTTTCCCGAAGGGAACGAGGAAGCTTGTCTAACAAAAACTTCAGTAGGATAAAATCCCATGAATCGGTAAGGAACTTCATCAATGCGAGCGCGCGCGTGTTCTCGGTAAACGTATCTAATAAGTGGTGAAGAGTCTCGGCCGACTCCGCCTTCAATGGCTTTGCCTCGATTATCGAATTCAAGTGATGGTCCGCTAACTTTCTCTTATTCCGGTATCGATCTACCAGCGAGTCGTAAGCGATCAGATAGTACTCCTCGGAAAACGGCAGGTTTTTCACCACGTTGAGTGGTTCCCCTTTGAGCGAGGCTAGCAGATACTGGTATTTCTCTATCGCGGAAATCTGCTGGTTGTGTATCGACGCGTTGAACAACGCGATGAAGGAAGGCCACAACGTGAGGTCGCCGGAAAACTGCGGTAGCGGGATCTTAGGCAACTTGACCACCGAGGCCTGACACGAGGGCGGTGCCGGCGCTCCTCCGAGTGGCGCGCCCGTTTCATGATGATAGCGACTCTTTACGGCGTAATGCATCTTATCGAAACTGGCTCGGATTTCGTCCTCGACATCGAAGTCCGCCGCTTCTTGGATGACCTTCAGGTGGGTGACCTCAAAATCGTCCGCGATCTTTGCTACGCTCGAGTAGCGAGCGAGGAAGGTCGCTCGGATTGCCGCGTCGGTCGCGGCTTGTAGGGAGAGGTCGTGTATTTCTCGCATACGCCGATTGCATACTTCGCGACGAGCATATGCGTTTTTCGACATGATGTAACAAAGGGGTCGTCCACAACAGACAGACGAAGCTAAGAGCAAAGGAAGGACGGCGAATAGGTAATCGGAGGCGATGGCAACTCGAACCAACAATATCAAAACCCGGCGAAAACAAACACGAAAGTCAGGTCGCCAAGGTGAGGGATAACGGACTGCTCCGTTCGATGTTTGCGCAAAGTCACGAGGGAATATTCTCGGTAATATTCCTCGAGTTGAACGTAGAGAATACCAGCCGCCGGATTAGCACGATAAACAAAGATGCGATCCGACTCGCGGACGTCAGGACACGCGTCGCAGAAACTCGAAATGCAAATATTCTCGATCGACGACAATAATATTCTCGAGCGATGATACTCTCGCACGGATCACGAATGTCGGGATAATACAAGTGTTGGGTCGGGCTGTACGTCACCTCGCAACGACGAAAACACGAGCAATGCCCGAGACTATACGGAAAAACAATGCGCACGAGACCGGCCCGTGATCGAAGGCCACGGCCGTTGTCTATGATGCGAAAGTATCGCTGGCCCGTAATATTCGGATATTCGACCGAATATTTCGGTTACGATCTAGCCAATTATATGGCGACTAATTACCGCGTCGAGCGCGGAATCGATTTTAAGGCGACTAACGGCTGCGGCCCGTGCTATGACGAACGAAGTTCGCGCGCGTATTCCCGTTGCGAAGCGAGCGTTGCACGAGAGATACCGCGCGAGACACGAGTTGTCAGCACGCCGAGCGTTATTGCACCTCGTTGATGCGAGAACAAATAATCAGCGAATTCGCGTAAACTACCGATGGCTAATGGCCGATTGCGCGATGCTACGCGAGTATTCCCTTCGCGAAGCGAGCGTTGCGAAACGGGAGATCCTGCGAGACCCGCAAGGCCACGCGCTATTGCACTACGCGTTACAGAACACAAGATTCGGTGACTTAGAACAATGAAAGGACACGCGAAAGGGCGGCGGCAATAGACTAATCGCGAAGAAATGACTATCCGGCTCGAAGGACCAGATGCTCGAGGGGCGGTAGAGTCGTACCCGGATTTGCGATAAAGCGAGGCTCGAAGGACCAGGGGGTGTGTGTAAAGTCTCCCCAAAGCGAATTAAGTTAAGCAAATGCGACTCACCGTTCGTTGTGCCGTCGACTCCTGGATGCTTCGTCTCTCGGTCACGATCGGGCTCGTGCAGCAGCGCAAGCAGGGCAGCACCGATTGGTGAGTCGCGCAAATATCAATTCCGCGTCGATCGCAATCCGCAGACGTTTCGCGCGAGTCACCGAAATACTTAATACTAGGTATGCGAAGACTACTATGTACAACGAGTAAGAACGAGACTAATGAGTATGATACATGCATCTATCTACAGTTTGGTGAGCGCCAAACACAGCCCTTAAGGGGATCCTAAAGTGAAGGCTGAACTTCCTCGACGTCGGTAATGTCAACATTTCTAATTCTGTTTTCTTGTCATATATCTATATCTGTCCTTGTCTAACGAGAGGCATCTATCTTTGTTCGATTACTGCGCCATCTCTTGCCACACGCAATATTGCTTATCCTGTCAACCTGAATGTGCTTTTGCACATATAAAAGTTATATAAAGTAATCTTTTTTTCTAGGTTTTCAATCTTAGATCTAATTGCACGATATTGTTCTTAAATGTTGTCCCTAGGTCATGCCGGTCTAATTTTGTGGATATTTATCGTGGAATTTTTGTACAAAGCAAATATTGTCGTCACGTATACCAAAAATTAACAAAAATATTAATTTTTTTTCGTTTTCGATATAAATTTGACCACCATGACCTAGATTTTGATGCGTACTTTAATTCTAGACAAGAATTTTGCATTTCTATAAAATCAATTAAAAGATTAGTGCTAAGAAAAAAAGCCGGTATTACAGACGGCTTTAGGATCTCCTTAAAGAAATCCTAAAACAAAGGCTGAATTCCGAAAATGTCTATAATTTCGATCGTTTTCTGTTATCGGCCTATATCTGTCTATATCCTTGTATATAGACAAAGATAGACAAGGTAGTTATAGTCCGAGCAGAAATTCGCTCACGGATGTAATAAGGTCCTTAGCAGGTTATCTTTAATGCAAAATCAGGTTCGGATAAGAAATCCAGATAAGGACCATATCTAGAGACTTTAAATATTTGGTCGCAATTAGTACGATTAATTATTGATATACGTAGAAATTTTAATGAAGAATAGTTAACTTAACGCACGTGTTACACACCCTATTTTATATTACAAGTGCGTAGAAAGTGGCCCATTGCGCGCGTGTCACGCGCGGAATGGGCCCTTTCCACGCACACACATGTGATATAAAAATTATTTAATTTATTTTAATCAGAAATGTATAAACTGCAGATTCTGTTTTTTTAGTTTTCGATGCCATTGTGTTCCTTATGTTCTAAAACGTAGAAATATCGCATTAAAAAAAATGTCGGTATGTGTGTACGTGTGTATGTATTGTGACGTGACAAATGTCGCGTCCCTTACCCCAGATGGGAGCTCGGCCGGGTCACGCTGGGGCCCACAGCCGGAAGATCAGCTGACCTGTCAAAGCGTCACAAGCGGCACGAGAGCACTGCGGCCCGAATACGGAGAACCCGGAGAGGGGGACGCCCCGACGAAGGTCCCCGTTGAGGAACGGGGCCACCACCGGTGTACCGCCCCCGGTCGACGAGCCACGGCCCGGCCAGCCTGGCCGTCGAGGAACCGGACGATGAGACGCGGCCCGGACAGCCGGTCTCACATGGGCGGACTTTGAAACTACCGCCGGCGGATGGGCGCAGTGCCGAGGGGCGCTCTAGTAGAGCGCGGCGATCGCCTAGAGAGATCGCCGGCAGGCCAGGGCGCAGCACCAACCAGGCTAGGGAAATCGGCGCGCGGGCGCGCGCGGGCCCTGCGTGATCCCGCCGGACCAAGGAAACGCCACTGTCGTGCGAGCTGCCATCCCAGCTACTACGAGCCCAGTGAGACGAGCGACGAGCTGCCGGAATCGAGAGATTTGTAAGGCCACTACTCTGCCTGCCTCGAAGTAAGATCGCGAGAATATCTAGGCCCTCCCGGGAGTCGCGTTGTGCCGCGGTAATGTATGGAATCAGCCGTAATTAAAGAATATCGAGTGATATACCGCGGGAGGGCCCGTGCGACGAAGTGATCGCGAATGCCCGTCTCGGGGATGAGAACGTACGGCCGCCGACAGTCAGCGTGCTTGTAATTTCGTCGCGTGTGATATCGTTTCGTGTACTTTCGTTGCGTTTAATTTCGTTGTGAGTAATTTCGTTCCGCGTAATTTCGTTGCGGGTGATCGTCGCGTGGAATTTCAGGATCGCCGTTGGCTTAACCGTGCCGTAGTTTTGAGAAGTGGCTCTCGCGCGTGAGAGAGCCTCGTAGTTACCGTTGCCGGTTAAGTTTCTGCCATTTGTAATTAGCGATACGTGCGTTTCATCGGGATTAAGGGCCCACCGTTGTGTCGAGTTTACGGATGAGGCCATTCGTGCGTTTCGAGGGGAGAGAAGATCCCCAGCGTTGTCGCGGTAGACCTTGCCGCGGTAAGGAACTTGCGTTAATTGTTTAATTGTTCGACGTGGACGTTTCAAATATTTCGCGTTTGACCGTCCGGGTAGGATCCGCTGCAACTTATGTCGGGGAATACTCTTGTACGAATTCAACCGGGATTGCCGTGCAGTTCAGCGACGGAATGAGTATCGCGCTCGTGGGGTGACACGTGGCGTGTACTCGAATTCTGCTTGTTCGCCGTGGAACACGCTATCGTCCACATGTTATCTGCCTTAACCGAAATATAATTTTATGTTTTATGTTATTTGAGTGTGATGATTGCGCTACGCTCCCTCTCCTATTCCACCCGCGGTTGATCAAAGAAGCCCACGCCTGAGAAACACTGCGATCTCGTGAATCGTGGTGCGTGGAATCGCACCTGGCGCCCAACACAACATCTTAAAAATACTCAGTCGAGCTACCATCGGGGTTTCGGAGAGAAGTATCGCGAAGATACAAAGAGATTTCTAGTGAAGAAAGCGACGGCGCGCTCCTCCACGGCCGGCGAGACCGTGAGGACATCGTCGTCGTCGTCACAGTATGTATGTATGTGCCAAATTTACCGAAATTTTTATAACTCTAAAACTAATCAACCAAATCTTAACGAATTATATATGAAATAGAGGTAGGAAAAACTGAAGAATATAATAGAATTAAGGGGGTAATTTAAATGTATTCCCCATCGGTTGACGTTTGAAAATTGTAAAAAATGTTAAAAATTGTGAAAGTTATAGCAGAAAGTTATTTTGTGCCAATGAACTTTTTGCCAACTTTTTTTTGTTAAGTGCTATAACTTTCACAATTTTCGAACGTCAACCGGTGGGGAATACATTTAAATTTAATACCCTTTTTGCGTTTTTCATTTTAGGACCGCCGTACAGGAGCTACTGCCTACACCGTAGTCGAGCGCGCGCGCGAAGAAATGACTCATAACTCCTACATTTTTTAATATTTTTCCATATAAAAAATACTGTAAATGCACCTAAACATGAACTTCAATATCGTATACACCATGAACCTGATTGGCCTACCACTTTGTCACAAATAAATCCTGAAATTGATCCTCCGCAATCCTCCGCCAGACTGTACTACCCTCTTAATAAAAATTGCTAATAATAAAAGTTTTACCGATTTCTGTTTAAAAGAACAGCCAAACTTACCAAAATTTCTATAACTCAAGAACTGATTAACCAAATTTTAAAGAATTATATATGAAATAAGGGTAGAAAAAACTGAAGAATATAATAAAATTAATAAAAATTGCTAATAATAAAAGGGTTACCGATTTTTATTTAAAAAAATCTACGTAATTGCTCTAATTTCCGCAAATTTTGAGATATCAAGCTTAATTTTTTCAATGATCAGTGAAGGGGTTACTGA